TTGTTTCTTGGAAGAAGGGATGCACGAAGCCATAGTCCAAAAGAAAGGTCATGTTCATCTATGTCTTCAAAACCTTCTTCTTCATTCTCCCCCAATGACTCACAATCTTTGAGCTGATGACCAATTCTTCCACATTCAAATCAGAAAGTGGGTAGTCGTCCATATTTGAAGAACACTAAAAAATGTTTATCTTTGCATTTGACCATCATACCTTTTTTTAGTGGATTATTCCCATTTTAACTCAAATCCTCAAGAATCTCATCTTCTGATGACCTTCATTTGTATACATTCCTTTGAAATCCCTCAGTATGTTCCCAATTTACTCCGCCGTTGACATCGATCTTAGCATTAAGGGAAAGTCGCAGATCATAACCCAAAAAAAAAAACCAAAATGCATGTTGAGGCTTGATGGTTGCTCTTGTCTGGTTACTCTTTCCAAGACGAGAAGGATTCAATTGAAGCTCCAAGGACCATTATGACTGGTCGTTGCCAGATCTTGTTTTGTATCAAATCGAAATAGGAATAGGTTCATACTTAGTTCCTAGGTTTCCACCGGATTCTTCAATCAACACACTCCAACCACTATGCCAGTGAAAGCCCTTGAGTTGAAACTATTTTCAGTCCATAGACGTCCGACTATAGTTCTTTGAAAAAAAATATTCACTAATCACTTTTGACGCGACCATGACTCCTTCTTCCTCTTCCTCTAATAGTGGGATATTACGTTATTTCTCCATGGTTGGAAAATGTAGTTTAGTGATTCAAGGGGTATTTGTAGTGTTTTGGCCACCAATAGTTGGGATAGAAGCGAGAATGTGAATGGGAGAAAGAAGAGTTGCTGCAAAACCTAGGGCAAAGGGGGAGGGGGAAGCCAAGATAAGTTTCTTAGAGAGAGAAGGTGTGCCTTCTCTTTAGAAAAAACATGTGGAGAAATTCATTTAATTTACCTTTGTTAATTTATAAAAGAAATGAATCTTTTGGTAATATTAATGAATGATTGATTATCCTATAGGAGAAATATCTTTTCATGAGATATTTTCTATATCTTTTTCTTTCCAACTTTATCCTTATTCGAAAATATCAAAAAGAAAATAAATCTCTTTAAGATATTTTCCTTCTCCTGTCTTACCAACCACTCATTTTAATTGGCTAGTAAGAGAATTGTAGAGTAAGAGAAGAGAGGAAGAAAAACCTGGAAAGAGAAATAAAAAAGAGAAAGAAGAGAAAAAGAAAAGAAGAAATGGGAAGAAGATTGGAAGTGGAATCAAGAGCTTGGATCATCATCATCTCATCTCAAATCTATGCTCATCTTCTTCTTCTAAGGTGGGTTCTAGATAGTTTAGCATTTTGGGAAAATATTTACATGAAATGGGGAAATTAGGGCTTAGGTATTTTGTTATAATCATGGAAATTGATGTTGATACATGTCATATTGATTGTTTCATGCTTTCTTGTGATATTCTATGTTGTTGGATATCATCTTGATACTATATTGTTGTTATTTTTATTATGAGTATATGATGTATGAATGAAGAGGAAGCATAGTTGCATATATGTCTTATTCTTATAGTCATGGATCATAATTATATGAAGTTGTGTTGGTCTATGAATTGGTTAGGATTAGAATGGTTAAGGTTGGAAGAGGATGTGTTTAAAAGTGGTATTTTTGAGGAAAATGTGGGGGACAATCGATTGGTATGTAGAACTTCCTAGAAATAATCGATTGGTTCCCTTGTTACTTACCAAATACCACTTGTTTGATTATTCAAAGTTATCATAGGTGTCTTATAACTTATACTATGATTTCTATGCATTGACTTAACAATAAATTATTGAAATCCATGAAATGGGTGAGTTTTAACTTAGAATCTTGGTTAGGTTAAAATGTTAGAAAGATGACTTAGGATATGAACATGATTTAGATGGTGGCGCTTGGACACAAAGGTACCTCGGTGTATATCTTGGACGAGTAGTCGCTTGAATTGTGAATCAATAGGCTTTGTATGAAACATGTTATGATGATATGAGAATTTTGGTGAATGTGATCACCTGATGATTGATGAGTGCAATTATGTTGATGTTGGAACCTAATCACGTATTCAGAAATAACCCATGATCATGCACATCACAACTGAGATGCTTATGTAAAGTAGAATTGGGATTTAGGCACCAATTGTAACACCCTAAATCCCAAAACTTATACAAAAATAGTTACTCGACAATTTAAGGTGTCACTTCGACAAGCAGCCAACAAAACTTTCAAAAACATTTAACAACATGCAGCGAGAAATTAACATAATAACAACTTCAAATTGAACTTCTCAAATAAAGTATTAAACATTAACGTCACAATTCGACACCAACTCGAAACATAACAAAAATTTCTTGTCCCTGATGTTACAAGATCAGAGCATTAAACCACTAAAATATAATAGAACAATAAATAAACGAAGGTAAGCTCCAAGAAGCTATCTTCCACTCACAACAACAAAACTCTGGAAAATTAATGGTTTTGAGATTCGAAACGTGTAATCTTCCATCTATCACCACAGTTGTTATAAAGGACCGTGGTGAAAAATGTTTTATTAAATAAATAAAAAATTTAAGGCTCCTAAATGAATAAGAGTTATTACTTCGCTTAATTTAAAGGTCGAGGTAATAAAGTGATACAAAATGTATATTTTGTAGTAATGTTGTAATTTCATGCTTCAAATAACCTTCCTATATATGAAGGACGAGTGTGTCGGGTTCTTTGCTTCTTTTTGCAATTACTCCTCTTTTTCATTTGTTTCTCGTGTGTTAGTTCTCTCATCGCTTTGTCATCAAAACTTCCGCGGTAAAATATCAAAAAGTTTGTCTATTATGATGATTTAGGCTTGAATTTGTTTCAATCTCTATTAAATCCTAAAAAAAAAAATGAATTAAAAATAAAAAAAATCACCTAAAATGACTAAAAATCATACTAAAAACATGATGTGAAGAACAATTTATTAGGTTGGATTGAAAATATATATGTTAAAGAAGTCTCACGTCGCTTAGCTTTATGAATGAAGAGAGAATTCAAGGCTATATATATGATACAAGTTATTTAAAGTTCCATATCGCCTAGTTTTGTGAAGGAAGTGGGAGTCCAATGCTAAATATAGGATTCAAATTCTTCATTCCAAGATGCACCCGGCAAAAGCACTTTAAGCATGTATTTGACTTTCTTTATTTTCTTATGATCTTGTATTAGAGTGTTGTGAGATGTAGTTAAATATATTTTTTTGGAAGGTGTAGGTGTACTGGGGTTTGGGTTAGTTGAAGATATATTATGTGTTGTAACAATTTTCACATAGTTTTATTCTTTGTTTGTCTCTTTTTTTCTCTATGCTTTGTTTGTTTTTTCCCAACACAATCATCATATTAGCATTTTCTTGTTTGTAAGTTTTTTTTCTCATTCCATCTTTTTTTTTACCTCTCATACTTATATTTCAGCATTGCAATTCTTACACCCCATTTATACAACAAATATTTACATCGTATATACTATTCACCTTATTATACGATGAACAATATTTATTTTAATAAAAAGATTATATTTATAAACAGTGGGATGAACAGTAGGTGAACAATGTCATGAACAAGACATAAAGAGTGTCCCGTGAACAGTAATTTTAAATTGAGAAAAAAAATTGGTTAATAAAATGTAAAAAATTGATTATTGAAGTGATGAAATTGGTTAATAAACGTCTATATATTAAAAATATTTTTTAATAGTAAAACAAAGTTGATTAAGAAAAATAAAAAATTATTTAATGAAATTATAAAGATGATTAACAAACGCTTATATATTAAAAATAACTTTTAACAATAAACAAAATTGATTAATAAAATATAAAATATTGGTTAATAAAGTTATTAAATTGATTAATCACACATTTTTATATCAATATTCTTTAATCTAAAAATACTTAAAAATATATATATATATATATATATATATATATATATATATATATATATATATATATATATATATATATATATATATATTATTATAATACTTTTTAAACAAGTATCCTTTGTATTTTAATATATATATATATATATATATATATATATATATATATATATATATATATATATATATATATATATATATATATATATATATATATATATATATATATATATATATATATATATATATATATATATTGTTGAGAAGGAATATCATTTTTTTGTTATAATTTATAATTTTACATTGCAAAGGTATCAGGCCAGATTCCAAAGGTCTACACAATCATCATTCAATGCTAAACATCCTCTGTAGGTCTATTGAAGTACAGGAAATCATGTGAGGCAAAGTGATAGATATGGAAAGGCTCATCTATAAAAGCATATGAAGAGTAGTACAAGAAGAGCAAAAAGTTCAAATTGAGTCACTGAAACTAAGAAAGGTACCGGAGTTTCGAGGTGATCTGACATTAAGAAAGAAGGCATGCATCTCCATTAGCTGGATCAACCATTGTGAAGAACGCGCGATGGAGATAGACCGACACCACTCGAGCCAGTTTCATCTCAAGTCTCAACCACATCTACATACTCTACATACTGTCCTCCTTAAATAGGGGTGTGTATGATAACCATTTAATATGAATAAATTCATTCTTATGATTATGATTTATAAACCAAACCATTTGTTCTGAACCGGTTTAAAATCGGTTCCAAATCAATTTTGATTTTAATCCAAATTATTTAGTTAAATTTGAATTTAATTTTGTTTAAATTATATTAATTTTTGAAATTTAAATATTTAGGTTTTAATATGTTTTTTTAAATAAAAAAATTAAATTAAAAAAAAATCAAAAAAATTAAAAATAAAATTGAAAATAAAAATTCTAAAATAAAAAACTTCAGTAAATTATTTGGACTTAAAATGGTAACTCTGTCTATTGGTGGAGAAATCTAAAGTATTTAGGATCATTTTTACATAAAGCTTTACTGATCTTTGAGATTTATAAATGAAAACTAAATTGATTATCTTCTCCAGGAACAGGCTCGATCTCGTAGCAGCGTTCTTTATAACGATCAAGGCTGGTAAGTCCATCGGTCCACACAGTTGTCCATGTACTAGTGGAAAATTCTGCAGCTACCGCTGTACCTGCTTCTTTAGGCAGAACTCCAGGTTGAGGAGTTACTCGGAATGCTGCCAAGATATCAGTATCTTTGGTTTGATAGTCAGGAGTATAATAAGTCAATTTATAATCTTTAACACCAAGTTTGAACCTAACATTTACTTTAGTTTCTGTTTGTGGTGACATAAATCTCCACAACAACGCATGAATTAAGAATTGAATTAGAGCAACAACAAGGTCTACTCGACATAACTTAAGAGTTAATCAAACCTTTTTACAAATGATCCATCAACTAATATTATCAATTAATCCGAATGGGTCATTGTAAAATTTTACCATGATATTTGATTTGGTAAATACATCATTATTCTATACTCTTTCATATGTATGACGCAACCCAACCGTTTTTTTCGAATCTCTTATTTTATTTTATTTTTAATTTTGGAGTCAAATTCAAGGAATCAAGTTTTGGTATATTTTTTTGCACATGCCAAATCAAACTCGATGTACTAAAATTTATATAATTAATTATTGAAAGTTCATATAATTAACCGCTAAAAGTCTATATAATTTGTGAAGTATTAGTACACCATTTTAGACCGTTAAAGAATTGATAAACAATTTTTTTATTATTTTAAAATACAAAATTCTGAATTTTTTATAAAATAATATTTTTTATGAAATTAAAAAAAATTAACTTTAAAATAGTTCAAATATAAAATAGACAAAAACATATTAATTTAATAAATAATAAAATTTAAAAACTAATAACTAAATCATATTATTATTATGAAAACTGGTTTATATTTAAATAATAAAATAGATAACCAAATTTATATTTTAACATTTGATTTAGATTTTTGAGAGTGAAACAATTTGAATACAAATTTATTTAATAATATCAGATTTTTTTCACATCCCTGCCCGGAGTACCCTGCTCATCTTTTATAAGGGGTTAATTTGATGCAGTATGTCATTCGTTCTCTCCACTTTTCCATTTGTATATCGAGCATGACTCAGCTATCAGGCAGGCAGCTCAAGAACAACGTCAACACACCCCACATCCATCTATGAGCAGTTTCGGCACAATAGAGAGGCATTCGACTAGGCCCTAGACTTCACTCATCACCAATATCAGGAACTAGTACATTTCTTAGATGAGGAGTAGAGGACCACCAACATGTTGGACGCTGAAGATTTCTAACCTATCTTTCATTTCAACTGGGTTTTAATTTTATTTTGTTTTATGTTGTACAGCGATCTACTTATTCTTTTAGTACTCATGACAAAGTAGAGGTGTCTACTTCTAATAATCAAATTACCCTCTTGTTTCTCACTTATTCTGAAATTATGAAAAGATAATGAGAATCCAAACGTTAATTGCAAGAAGAAAGAAGACATCATAGTTGTATCTAAATGTGTAATTCAACATCAATTAAATAAATTCAAAAATACAAAACATAGTGCTCAAATGGTAAGAAAAAAGAGAGAAAATAGAAAGATATTTTCACACCATACAATACAATAGAGATATTACTATCATTATAACCTCCTACTATTTCATCACACACAATAAAGAAATGGAGCAATAATTTCCATTTTAAAAACATTTAGCTGATTACATTATGCAACTTGTAAGAAGTGTTTAAGGGCTAGAGGGGGAAGAAGGTGGTGGAGAGATAAATGGGATGGAGGGGAAAATGGTTGGGATTGAGGGTAAGTTGGGAAGTGATGTGGCTGCTGGCAATGGTGGAACGTTGAGAGATGGAATAGTTGGAATATTGGTAGGAAACCTAGGAAGTGGTGGCATAGTAAGCTTAGGAAGAGATGGAATGTTAGTTGGCACTGGCAATGGAGGAAGACTGGCTTGAGGCAATGTTGGAATTGAAGGCAAAGGTGGCAATGTTGTTGGTTTTGGAAAACTTGGAATGCCAGGCAAATTTGGTTGTGTGGTTGTTTGCAAAAGTTGGCGTGCTTCTAAGATCATGCTTGACATTGTTACAACAAGAAGTAAAGCAGTGATGAAGGATTTGGTTGATGCCATTGATAGCTTGATGTATTGTTAGAGCTAAGGAGTATTCCTGTATTGAAAGAAGTTGGTTTGAGATTTGATGAGGAGCAAAGGGATGATTGATGGACTTATATAAGAGTGAGAGAGATTTGATGGAGGGTAGTTGAACTTCCTATGTTTAGGGCACCTAAACATTCAGAATACTGAAAAATGAATCATTTCAACATGCTTGAACGGTAGATTAGGTGATCTACCACAATCCTTAATATCCTCAGCAAGATTCATTACAAATAATAAACAATATTCTCGCAGCAATATTACAAATAGGCTAGGATAAATAAAATATAATGGTTTCCTCAATAGTGTGCATAAAATAACGTCATAATGTATTTAAAGTATGAATAATATATTTAAAGTATAATAATGTACAAGCAGTAATTTCTACATATTGATTATTCTAAACTAAAGTATTTGATTAATGCACTAAGATTTTGTTTGAGGATTCATAGGGAAGAAAAAAGAATTTAGAAAATGTTTTTTTTAACATGTAAAATTTTTAACAAGTTTTTCTAAATTCTCCAAAACAATTCAAACACATCCTCCAAATTTGGGGAAAATTTGAATTTTAAAAAATAAATCCTTCAAAACCCTCTCTATTTATATTTTTCTATTTTTTTCACTCAATCTTTCTCTTTTTTTAAAGTGCTCCCCTTCTTTCACATCCAAACTCCTAAACAAAGGCTAAAGATACGAATACAAATTAATAATACAAAAAATATAGTTGATCTGATATGATCAGATTGTATCCTCGTAGCCTTCAACGGAGGACAACAATGATAGTTGTAGGAGAGAAGGGAGTGTACCTGCAAAACACTCCGATTTTAAAGTAAGAATCAGAATGAGAGAAAGAGTAAGTACAAAGTAATTTGGGATTGAGTTGGATTGAATTGAATATCTGACTCTCTCAAATAAGAGGGTATTTATAAGAAACCCCCAGTGCGGGGCTAAGGTTCTCATTGTGGGCCAGAATATCTGGTCCACCAATGAGAGACTACCAGGTTTGCGAGGAGCAAGGAAGATTCTAGCGCGTGATCTTCGACCTGTGGTTCAACTGTCTCCGTGAACTTCAGAGGGGCAGTTAGTCGTCTGAACTGTGGAGCGCGTGAGATGGAGGTCCCCAACGACTATAATGCTCTAACGACTATATTTTCCCCAACGACTATATTGTATTCAACGGTCATATTGTGCCCAACAGGTAGATTGTGCTAATCTCTTTGTTGGATCTTGTCTAAAGCTGGACTAGATTGGGCCTTGCCCAACTATGGGTCACCTGTCAGTCCAGTCCAGAACAAGGGCCCCCCAAGTCATTGTTCTTAGGTGAGGACCAATGACTTTAAGTTACCCTCGCTGGTCAACCGATGGGCAGGAGTTGCATCGAGGGGATGTCTTTGAGACTGTTGTTTTTGAACAAAAATCCTAGGGGACGTACCCTTCGAATGTCTATGACTAGTTTTGTCGATGATCGATTATCCCTGACTTCAAAGGTTTTTTGGGATGCGAGGACATGCTCGTGGAAGGAACGTTTTACGTTGACCAGCCTTGCACTTAAAACAAGGAAATTTCTTGTCGATGAGGTTGTGCTTGGATAATATCATGCGTGTCTTATCGAGGATGATGTGCCCAAGTGGAGCTAGAAGGAACTTACAAAAATCTTTTGATGGTTGGGCTAGGCCCATGTTATGTAATATTTAAACAATTGTAGGCCTGGTGGTCGGACTAATATTATATTTAATTTTGACTTTGTATGTCTTTTGTGTCTTTTATCTTCTTCGTAGATGTATGCTTTGTATGTTGATTTTTGCGAATTGTGTTCGCTGAATGTAAGAGTTTGCTCGACTCATTATGATGCTCGATAGTTTACGAAACTTGTTGAGGAAGCGGAGTAGTTTTCCAGTCGTGGGACTAGGATCTCGGTCGAGGTCCTGATCACACAGGGCTTGGACTTTTCCCATCGTGAGCTGGGTGTCCTGCCACGCTGGTACGGCAACGATGAAGCTCGATTAAGGTATCCCCGTTAGGCACAGAGTTTGCTCATTCCATTAGCAGAAACTTGCCTTCGTTATAAGTTTGAGGGTTGTGCTTGCAACAGGGCACGCTTCCTTGGTCGAGCGTTCTCTTTCCATTGTAGGGCGAGGTCGTCGGCAGACAATCTGATTGATAGTTAGTGCTAATTGTAATATTGTTTAAGCTTTTCAACATTTCATGGACGAGTAAATGGTTCTCCATTTAAATGTTCGAGGTAGTAGGCCCTGGTGCCTGTTTTCTATTTTACCCGGTAAGGGCCTTCCCAATTTACGGCCAGCTTGCCCTCGCGTAAATTTTTTTTATTTCTACGTAGGACCAGGCTGCTCACTTAGAAATCGCACTTTATAACTCTAGCGTCGTGGCGCAGTTATTTGTTTTAGTGAAACTTCGCGGAGGGCTGCCGCTGATCAGATTTCTTCGACTAGATCGAGTTCTTCTCTTAACGCTTCATCGTTTAGTTCCTCGTCGAGAGTAGCCTATATTTGTCTAGAGGGTTCTCTGATTTCCATCGGGATTACTGCCTCGGTTCTGTATGCTAGTCGGAAGGGAGTCTCCCCGGTGGTTGAGTGTGGAGTTTTTCTATAGGCCCAGAGCATGATATGTATCTCCTCGACCCATCTTCTTTTGGTCTCGCCTAATCTTCATTTTAGACCTCGAAGGATCATCCTGTTTGCGGCTTCTGCTTGCCCGTTGGTCTGAGGATGTTCGATAGATGTGAAGTGCTGCTTGTTACCTATTTTGGTGACGAAGTGTTGAAACTTCTTGTCCGTGAACTGTGTCCCGTTGTCGGCCACAAGGGCCTGGGGCACACCGAATCGTGCAAAGACGTTTCTTTTGTAAAAATGAAGTATGTTAAATGTTGCAATCATGGCGAGGGCTTCGGCCTCAATCCATTTTGTGAAGTAATCGACGGCCACGATCAAATATTTGTTCTGATAGGACCCCATCATGAAGGGGCCGAGTATTTCCATCCCCACCAAGCGAAGGGCCATGGGGAGGACAAAGTCTTTAGTTCGTTGGGGGGTTCTAAGTGCATGTCCTCGTGGCGTTAGCATCTGTCACTTTTTTTACATGCTCCTTTGTGTCATGCTGCATAGTCGGCTAATAATATCCTGCTCGTAGGGCTTTTAGTGCCAAGGATCTTCCTTCTAAGTGTTGTGCGTTGATCCTATCATGAATTTCTTGGAGAATGCCGGGGACCTTGTCCTCCTCAACACAGTTTAAGAAGGGGATGGAGAATCCTCGTCGGTAGAGCTTGTCTTCGACTAGGACATAGGAATGTGCCCTTCGTTTAGTTACGTTGGCTTCTTTGTTATCTTTGGGCATGTCCCTGATTTCTAATGGGAAGACCTTGTTCATCATTCGTTGGTGCGTGGCCCCAGCGTATTTCAAACCGAAAGGCATTACGTTGTAGTAATAGTTGCCCGACGAGGTCATGAAAGCGGTGTATCGCTTGTCCTTTTGTGCTATAGGAATTTGGTTATATTTCAAGTATGCATCCACGAAGGTCAAGAGTTTAAAACCAGCAGAATTATCTACTAACTTATCAATGTTGGGCAGGGGGTACGTGTCCTTCGGACACGCCCTGTTAAGATCAGTATAATCAACAGACATTCTCCCCTTTCCATTATGTTTTTTCACAAGTACAATGTCAGAAAGTCAAGTGGTGTACCTCGCCTCCGAAATAAGTCTTTCCTCTATGAGGTCTTTTACAAGTTTTTTTGCAGCTTCGGCATTTTCGTCTGATTGTTTGCGTATGCGTTGTGCCACTGCTCGAGCATAGGGATCAATTGTGAGTTGATGCATCCTTTCAATGAGCTTCGTATCTTTTGGTGTATTGCTTCAGATGACCTTCACTGATTAGGATCTCGATTGCGTCCTTCAAGTGGACATAATCTTCAGTAACATTCCCGTAACTATGGTGAAATCGACAGTACTTGTTACGACCGGTGTTGCCCTCGGACGTTGTTGGTTTAAGGAAATGGACTCCTCCTTGTTTGAACTTAGTGTTGATGCATTCATAAAGGATGCGCTTGCAAGGAGCTGCTAGCAAGAGAGACTGTCAGGTTTACGAGGAGTAAGGAAGATTCTAGCACGTGATCTTTGACCTAGTCCAACTGTCCCTGTGAACTTCAGATGGGAAGTTGGTCGCGTGAATTGTGGAGCGCGTGAGGGGGAGGTCCCCAACGACTATAATGCTTTAACGACTACATTCTCCCCAATGGCTATATTATGCTCAACGGTTATATTGTGCCCAACGGCTAGATTGTGCTAATCTCTTTGTTGGGCCTTCTCTAAAGCTGGATTCGATTGGGCCTTACCTAATTGTGGGTCATCTGTCAGTCCAGTTCAGAACAATAGTAAAAATAAATTATTTACAAGATTCTCCTTAAAATTAGTGAATTGATATACAATTTATTTTTGACCTTTTACAATTTAAATTGATCATTCTAAAACGGTAAGTATATGATCAGAAGAATTTTTACACTTTTTTCGTTCAAACTTCAAGATCATTTGCTTTATTCAACAATTGATTAGCACTTCAAATGGATATTATAGAATCATATGCACCAGTACAAATAATGCATTATATGATAGCATTCATCTCATCCAACAAAAAATCGGTTAGTAAACCATAGACATGTCACATTTTATTTTTATTTTTTTTAAATACGACATATTCCCTTGCTTGAGCTGCCAACTGAAGGAAAAAGTATTGAAGAAACACGTCTTCGAATCCCAGCAACTACATTTTAGCATATTTTAATTTTTAAAATTATTTTATTACCTATTACCTTGGTTGAGCTGGCAACCGAGAGATAAAGTATTTAGAGGATATGTCTTCGAATATCAACAGCTACATTTTAGCTCCTTTTAATTTAAAATTATTTTTATGACATATTACCTCGGTTCAACTGGGAACCAAAAGGAAAAGTAGTGTGTTTTAT